TAGGGAGAAAGGTGGAACTGAGAGGACACTCTGCTTAGCATGTGTCAGTCTTGAAACTGATGAGTACGGACCATGCCTCAATAGACTTCTATACAGCATTAGGTACCCAAATTTAGGTACTACAGCTTTCGAAGTTACAGGGATGCTAACCGAAGGATTCTGATAAGTCTCATAAGGGTCAAGGAAACTGTACATTAAGGCTCATAAACCTTTAAAGTACAGAGTGCCCAATTCATTTATTTTAGGTAAAGAAGTAACGTGTTACGTGTTCCTTTTTAGAGACCTAAACCCACCATTTCTGCACAACAGCAAGCATCATTAAGTAGTCTCATCTCAGACAAACAAAGCAAACAAAAAACCCATCACAATCCTCTTGTACTACTGACACTCAGTATGGTCGGCTAGAGCACTGGTAATACCCGAGTATGCTTCAAACCAGTACTGCAGCTACTCTGTTCAGAGCACTGAACACTTGTTTCTGAGGCCCTGCCTCTGTGATGAATCCCTGACACCCCCATAAGGTTATTCTCCAATAGCTGATGGTGGAAGGGGCAGAAGTAAGTTATGGTGAATCTGGCTCCAAAAAAGTTTAAGAAACATGGACAAAAACAAAGCACTTAAGCATTAGGACAAACTTACAAAGTGCAAATGCCCTCTGAACACAGAGCAATTTGAAAAACACTTTGGTGGCAATCATGTCACTGAAAACTCTCAGCTGACCACAAAAATAATCTCTGTAGATTATGTTGGACAAGTAAAATCTGAATTTGCCACCTGTATTACAATCATTGATTGAAATAATTCTGTTCTGACAGTAAACTGGAGTAAGAAAACAACTTTCATCATTGACGTGTCCAATCCACGACATACCTCAGTGGACACCTATGATCTAACCTAAAGGACAGTCACTGATCTCATCTATGGCAATTGCTGATGTTTTCATCCATGCATATATAATCAAATTTGTTGTGTGTCTGTGTGCCCTATTGAACTCTAGTGGCATTGAGTTTCACAGAATAAATATGGTTATTGTCTTAAAATTGGTAATTTCTGGAAGTTCACAGAAGACAAAAACTCAAATTGTCAAAACAATTTAAGTATAAAAAAGTGGCATTGAAATCATAGAATCATTTAGGTTGGAAAAGACATTTAAGATCATTGCATCCAACCATTAGCCCAGTACCATCATATTCACCACTAAACCATGTCCCCAAGTGCCACGTCTACACATCTTTTAATTACCTCCAGGGATGGTGACTCCACCATTTCCCTGGGTTGTCTGTTCTGATGCTTGACAACTCTTTACATGAAGAAACTTTTCCTAATATCCAACCTACACTTCCCCTGGCACAACTTGAGGCCATTTACTCTTGTCCTGTCACTTGTTACCTGGGAGAAGAGACCAACCCTCACCTGGATACAACCTCCTCTCAGGTAGTTGTAGAGAGCAATAATGTCCCCCCTGAGCCTCCTTTTCTCCAGGATAAACAACCCCAGCTCCCTCAGCCACTCCTCATAAGACTTGTGCTCCAGACCATTCACCAGCTTTGTTGCCCTTCTCTGGTCACACTCCAGCATCTCGATGTCTTCTTTGCACTGAGGGGCCCAAGACTGAACACAGGATTCAAGGTGCGGCCTCACCAGTGCTGAGTACAAGGGGACAATCACTTCCTTAAGAGTCCTGCTGGTCACCCTATTGATGATAAAAGCCAGGATGCCACGGGCCTTCCTGGCCACCTGGGCACACTGCTGGCTCATGTTCAGTCAAGCCTACCAGAGTGGCAAAGAATGCTCCTTAGCCATCTCAGTGAGGGCAAGGGATGGAGATCCACATGAGAGCAAAGACACAAAGGTTGTTGATGCATTACAAACCACAGAAACACCCAAGAACGGTCCCACAGAAATTAAGGCCTCTCCCAAAACAGGTGGCAGGATGAATAGCGCAACTCAAGCGCATCTACACCAAAACACACAGCATTGGCAACAAACAGGAGGAGCTGGAAGCCGCTGTGCAGCTGGAAAACTATGACACAAAATCAATATAGTCAAAGTGCTAACTGAAGAAGCCATATCATTCAGCCACATTCCAGAAGTCTCACACTGCTCCCTTCTACTACTCCCTTCTCTTGGAAGTACAAAACACTATGTTAATACTAGCATTCAAATAAAGCAGATTGTTCATATATCAAGTTAGCATCTACTGCCAGCCACATCTGCCAGCAGCACACAGGGTAGGCCACATGTATGGAAGAAAAGCTAAATTTCTTCTGAACTGTAATCTCTCAGTTATTCACATAGAACAGTTACCTAGTAAGATTAAATCACTGAAGCAAAATTAAAAAGAAGTTGCAAAGAAAGTGCTTTTAACTATGGAGTTAAATGTAGCAATGTCAGCAGACACAGAACTCCTGCAGCATACCGGGATTTAAGAGCCTCATGAGGCAACTATTACCTCCAACTTCTCATAGGGAACACCTTACTAGTCTTTTGAACTCTTCTGAACTTCAAATTTCAATCCTTTTCCCCAGAAAGGTTGAATTCATTGTTATTTGTAATAGAAAAGAGAAACAGTTCTCCACAAAAAGTGATTTTTTCCATTGGTAACAATTCTTGATATAAATTCTTCACAGAACTCTTCTTTCTGCTTTTGTTGCAGGGTGTATTAATTGGTTGCAAACTCAAACAATGTGACTGAACTTCAGTAATTCTGTATTTAGTCCTCAAAACCAAAAGGAAAACTTCTGTAACAACACAAGACTGTTCATGATGATTCTGGACCAAAAAAAAAACAAAACCCAAAACCAACCAAACAACCTCAGCAAAAATCTGAAAGAGTTTGTACCAGTTTTGGTCTCACATCCCTCTGCATATTTGAACAAGCTCTACAAAAGACAAAGAAACTTGCTTTCCCTTTTTCACTGGCACTTTTACATTCATGCTGATGCAAATTCCTCTTTGCATGTTATTCCAGGATAAGTAACAGTAGAATGCAATCATATATTTGGGGCCAAAGAGGATTAATAACAATAATATAAAGCAAATGTAGTAGATAATAAAGCAAATTTATTGCTCTAATTAAGACAGTCTTTTATTAAAACAAGTTATTTAGTTTAACCACCTAATCATGTGGCTGAGGAGTTCGGTTCCTACAGCTGAATTTGCAACACCAAGCACCAAATGTGTTCCAACACACAACAGCATGGTCCTATGACATGCCATAAGAAGGCTGTACCACCATCATCACAGTTGGAGAAGGACAATGTGCCATCTACTAGGACACTTTCGCGCAAGAAGTTTACTGAGTCTTAGTAAGGTTTGTTGAATCTTAGCTGTACAGTTGTTCTTGGCAGTATTCTCATCTTTTCATAGGTAGCCACACAAAGCTTCAATAATTTTCAAACCAGCTCCAGTACACAAAAGCCTTTTTCACTCCCAACACAACAGCCTCCCTACTTCCAAAGCATTATTAGCCTTGATCACTCTCAGAAGTAACTTTTTTTGACATGAAGAAGCATCAGAAAAAGCAGAATAGCTGTTAGACTGGAATGCATAATGAATCAGAAGTAAAATTAAATGGTAGCCTTACATCCAGAATATGGTAAGAGTTAAAACATTACCATTAAAATTTTTATATTGCAGTAGGAAGTCAAGGTTTAGAATACACCACTTTATTAATGATAACAGGCCATGCAAATTCTTTGGGAGTCTTTCATGTGGTTGGTAATTTTAGATGCTTAAAATAAATCCAGATCTAATACCTTCCTCCTAAGCAATGAGGTTTTGCATCGAACCGCTCATTCTTTGTATGTGTAAGCCACCAAAAAGTGACAAAGAAAGTTGCAAGCTTTGCAAATCTGGGAAATCTACCACGTACAATGGCGAAGAAATAAAGAAAAAAAAATAATTCAAGATACAAATGGTGGGAAAGACTGCAATATCTGAATCTGTGCTGTACCCAAGCAAGGGAGTCGGAGCGAAAGACAGGCGCTGCCTTTTTGTTTTGTTCTCGGGCTGCGAGGTCCCCACCGGAGCTGCAGGGCCGCTGCACCACCCACAGCCGCCTCTAGTGGCACAGCCCGCGCACCGCGTCCCCGTTCGGGTGCTCCCGAACCTCTCTATTCGTGCGCCCTCCACCTTACTTGCTCCTTCACTGCACTACTCTGCAATGTCAGAATCCCCCGTGCAGCAAAAAAATAACCCCATTATTAAAAAGGGCAGAAACTAGAGTCAAATTACATCCCAGTCCTACTGATAGGGACTGGCAACCAGGCACTCCTTAGCCAACCCAACAGAGATCACAACCCGCTCTGAAAATCCCACACAGACAAAACATCAAAAACGCTCGCTTATTGAGAAACTGTGGGTTTCCCCAGCGTTCTCCAGCTTTTTGGGGAAGAGGCAAAGCAGACAGCTCAGAAGCCCTGCCAAAGAGAACAAACTGTGACTGGCACCCAACAAAACCAACCAGGCAAATCTGGGGGTGTAGAGAACAAGTCTGAATGCACAAAAGAGACACGATGGAGTGCGCTTCACAAATTGTGGGGTGATTTTATACCTCTCATGCCTCTTCTTAGCTTCAAGATGTTATGCAGGAATGGGATTGGAGAAACGGGGGAAAAAATTCAAGATGGCTGAAGGTGTCTTGTCAGGATTTTCATGCACGCTCTAGAACTCTAGAGGGCACTCGAAATATGCCCTCGTCCTCCTCCCTCCTGAGCCGGGTAACGTGAGCGGCGGCAGCAGCCCGTCGTCTGCTTGCCGGAGTTGGTATTGCAGGAGCGATGTCTGCAGCAGCAGCGCCAACCCCGTGGAGGCGCCGCCTCACAGCCATTACTGGGGCTTCGCCCCAGGGCAGCAGCTGCTGGACCCAAGAATTTCCCCACCCAATCCTGGAGGCACCTCCTTCCACCCCTGCCCCCGGGGGAATAAGGGGGATGTGGATCAAGCCCTCCCTAAGCAGGGCTAGCAAAGGCAGAAACAGATACACAAATAGCACTCACAATGGAGCTCCCTCTCCTTGTTGGTCTCTGCCAAGGCTGCACCAAACTGGGCTGGAGCCTAAGGGAAAGACACGGGGTTAACACAGGGCAGGGAAGATTAGGCAGCGCCCCCAAGCAGCGTTTCCTTCGCCTGGCCAGGGCAGGTACCGCCTGCATCACTCACCACTTCCCTTTAATCCCAACCCTTAAAATAAATAAATAAATAAATAAATTCGTTGCCCTCCCCCGGGGCGGTGGGGTACTCCTCACGGCACACCCACGCCGCCTGCCCCCGCTCAAGGAAAGGCGGACACGGAGCCCCCTCCCCGGGCGCCACCGCACCGGGGCCTTCTCCGCGCGAGTGCTGGGGGCAGAGGCAGCGGCGGCACCCACGGCGGGCAGCAGCGAGAATTACCTGCGAACTTGCCGGAGCAGCCCCGAACCGGCGTCCCGGAGGCCGCGGGGCCCTCAGCGGCAGCGCCCCGGCGCTGGGCAAGCGCCCGCGCCCCCCGCCCGCTTCCGCAGCAGTTACCCCCGGTCTCGGGTTTGCCCCCCTGCAGTCGGCCAGCAGCACTGCCGCCTCCTGTCCGCCATTAGAGGGACCCAACCGAACAATACGGGAGGGGAGCAGCGGCGGCGGCAGGAGACGCGGAGCGCCGCGCCGGGCAGGAGAGTGGAGGGAGGGAGGCACCCGCAGGGGGGCGGCGAGGGCGGTGGGTGGAGGACGCACCGGGGCAGAACAACAGCCGAGGGCCCGGCAGGGAAGGGAGGGAGAGAGTTAAAATAGGAGGCGCTAGAGCAGACCCGGCCCTTCCCCCAAATGCCCCTGCGCCCCCCCTCAGGGCTGCCCCCGGGCGCTCCCCATTTACCCCCGCCGCCCCGCTCCGTGCCGCGACGGGTACCGGCGGGGTTGCCCCCGGTGTCGCTCGCGCCCCCTCCGCCAGAGGTGGCGGTGCGGCGGCAACACGGGGTACTTCGCCCGGGTAGCCGGGAGGCACGGCGGCTGCTCTCCCATCCCCGCCCTGGGGGCAGCTGAGCGCCGCCAGCCCCCCGCCAGCCCGCCCTGGTGAGGCGCAGCGCCCCGCGCCCCCGCCTTACCCGGCTCCCCACCGCCTGCGGGCACAGACCCCCCCCGCCGGGGACGCACGCACTCTGCGCTACTCCTCCAGCGCCTCAACTCTAACTCGGTCCAGTCCCAGGCGAAGCGCAGCTGCTGGCGAAGGGGAGGAGGAACCGGGCCAAGCGAGCTCGGCGAGATCCGCCTTCCTGCCCCGGCATTGGCTTTCCCAGAGGGCGGGCTCTGGCGCTGGGCTAGCGGAGTGGGTGCACCGCCCATCCATCAGAGCCGCCCGCAGCCGGTTGACCCTATAAACTGCCAATCTTCCTCCTGGCCACGCTTTGGGTTCTTCCCACTTTGATCCATCAGGTTTGAGGAACCCGGATCGGTGCCCACAGACCGGCTCGTTACTCGCGCCAGGGGGCTGCGCTGGCGTTCCCCGCGCCGCTCTAGGGCAGCGGCAACTTGCCGAAGTTGTGGGTGTCGCCGATCCGCCTGGCCCTATCGGCCGGCGGAGATAGTGCGCTGCCCGTCCAGGCCGTGCACTCGGTCCCTGCGGGCGCCACCGTTCCGCCCGTGGGGCGCGGGTTCGCCTCTCCCGCTCCGTGCCCTGCCGCTAAGCCATAGGGCTGGCAATGGTCCTACGAGAGGTTCCGCTCCGCTCCTTCCCTTCCCTCACTAGGCGTTGAGCCTGGGGCCATATCCATGATGGACAGAGCATGGGTAATGGAACCGCTCCCAGAGGGAAAAGGGAGAGTTCACGACTCTCAGGGAGGGCGCCTGGCCCGCGCCCCGCAGCCTGCCCCACCGAGCAGCGCCTCCTCGCCCGAGGAGGCCCTGCTGCCCCCGCTCTCCGCGGGGGAGGGCGCCATGTTAGCCGCCGACATGGGTCCTGGAGGAGCTGGTGGTGGTGGTGGTGGTGGTGGCAGTGGCAGTGGTGGCGTCCTCCATTTTGTCGGAAGCCGCTGCGGGGAGCTTGGGACCAATTCGAACCGAGGCGCAGCGGGGCGTCCATTTGAAGCGCCTCTGCCCGCCTTCTCCGCGGGAAGAGGAGCCGAGTGCCCCAGGCAGTGCTACGGGGTGGGGACGAGCGGTCCTGCCAGGCGCCGGGAGCCAACTCTCCCCCTGCCCTCCGCCAAAATGGAGGATGCGCACTTTCCCTGCGCGGCTCCTTCCCCCGCGCTGGCCATCGCACTCGCGCCCGCTCCTTCGAGGACCGGGAGAGCGCAGCCGCCCGTCTGGCGCGCTCGTCCCGCTCTGCCCATTTACCCATCCTCCTCTGCCCAGAAGAGGGAGAGAGAGAGCGCGATACCCGCCCTGCCTCCTCTAGCCGGGATCAATCTGTGTCAACCACGCGGAGCAGAGTCCCTCGGAGATACAGAGCCTGTTGTGTGCGCGAGGAGCCGGGTTTCAGCCGCTGGCGCCATTTCCAACCCGGAGCCTCCCGCGGGACAGCCTTCCTCTCGAGTTGCGCAGGAGTCACTCAAGGGCTGTCTCCTTTCTCCACCATCCTTGATGTGTTTGGCTAATAATTTTCATGTGTAGGAGAGACCAGAAATTTTTTATCTTCCATTGTCACAACAATATCTCTAATTTCTTCCTAATGATCCGACCCAGAGACACAGGCTCCAGTCAACAACTCAAATCATCTACTTTCTTACTATATATTGTTGATGGGAATCACTGTGGATTTGGTTTTGTTGTTCAGGGTTGGTTGGGTTTTGTTGTTTGTTTTTTTTTCACGACATACTACTCATCAGATGAAGCTGGGAAGGGCTACTTGGTGTGAGGGGGGAGAGTTACCTCAGGGCTGGCAGCACCTTGCTCATGCCTCCTAAAAAGGATGTGAGCTGATGGCAAAACAGCTCTAATAATCCCTGCCAAGGAAGAAAGTGCCATGTAGATGTATCACCACCCATTTTGAAGGTCTCCTCCAAGTTGCCCTATAAATTGATACTTTTTTCTACAGCATCACATTGTCTAGCTATGTGTGTGAGCAGACAGCTGTTGAAATTTCAACATTGAATCCCATTCACGTTAAGTTAAAATTCTGATGAAATTCGGAAAGAAATTCAAGAGGGTTTACGCATCAGAGATGGATGGTGGAAAACAAGTGGTTTTCTAATTCATAACACATTAAAAGAAACCTATCGCACTTTAAAAAAGTAACCAAAGGATTACCGTTGCCCTAGCAAGAGACGTTACCTAATGGTGTTATCTAGGACTATTATGTAGCAATAGAAGATTTTCATTAATGTCTTAGATTGTACAGCTCAAAAAAACTTTAATGTTTTTTCTTGCAATTTTGGAACTGTATCGAAATGTATTTATATATAAACATTTCATAAGTCCAGAGAACCCTTGTACCCCTGTAGACATCTAACCCTATTTTTAAATTTGTATGTTCAAATATAGCCAAAAATAATGAAAAAATGTTTCCTTTGTTTTTTCAATTGACATCAGGAAAAAGAACAAAAACGTTCAGGCACCTATGTAAATTCCTCTTCATCTATAAAACCATGTATAATTCTGATTATTTTTAAGAATAATCCATATAGAGCAATTTCTTTATATGGTTTGAAAGAGTTAGCATTAGCTCAAACACTAAGCAGCAAAATCTCTTCATGAACACCAGAGACCTCAAACTTACATATTTTTAGGCTCCACACCACTGCTTTCATGGACAGGCCTGATGTCAGCAACTTCACTAAAAAATGTCAAATGTATTGACTGGTGGTAGATAAATTCAACAAAGCTGAACCAACCACTCTTTGTTCAACAAAGAGTGACATCCTTCTATCTGTCATGGAGTAAAATTGCCTCAAAAAGCAGTCAACTGTATTTGAACTGAGAAGGAGTAATCAAATATGTTTTGAAGAGTTTATGTTTGAGCAGAAATCTTAAGAACATTACCAAGTGATGCATAGTATGTTCTAAGAACAGGATGAACACAGTTTAAGGCTACCTGCTGCTATCAGCAGTATTTCTCTGTGATAAAGAATAGTGGCATTTGTTCCAGAGTTAGAAGGAAACATCTTCCTTTGACTGAAGGACTTCTTCTGCCTAAACACTGTTTTGGACTGCATCAACCTAATTGTTCAGGTGTCTAGAACAGAGTCTAAGGAATGAAGAGGAAATACAAGATGTCTATCACTACTTCATACATGTAACACTTGGAAAGCAGAAGTTCACGAAACCCTTCAGAACACAGTTTATTATAACTGATTTGAAAATTAGCTTGGGAAAAATTGTGTTTGAAGTGTAGATAAAGCTTATGTTTATAGAAATGTCTGTGTGTTTTCACCACCTGTGAAAGTGAAAATGACGTGCAATCTTTTGTAAAGTATGTGACCCCAAAAAACGTGTCATTGTTGGCTTCTATACTGTCCCGCCCCACGAAGTTTGTAATCTCTGCTTTGCACAGTTTGATTTATTCTCTTTATTTTATTCTTTTCTCAACTCTCTTCCCCTACAATTTCTGCCAATATTTCCTTTCTTTTTTGTCCTTAATCTCACTTCTTTGTCTATTTAGCCTCAATCCTGCTTGGCCATCACGAAGAAGAAAGATGTGGACAAACTGTATTCGTTGATGGAACATGTGTTCTCATAGTCATGGCTTAATGGAATTCTGGTCTACTAGTTGGTTGCTCAACACAACTTCAAGAAATAGTAGTGGATGGAAAAGAGATTAAAAGACAAAACCAACCAACCAACCAAAAAAAGTAGAATCTTAAAACACCTATGATCGGTAACACCTTGATCATTTTGGTTTTATTATGTAATATTCCCCTCTATCAGTGTTCCAGTTTGTGGGTTTAATTAGGCATGGCAGCTATTCTTTATAGACTAAAGCTCTTAATGAAAAGATACTAAGGAAAAATTTCTTTATATGGGGGTAGTGAGGCATCAGAACAGGTTGCCCAGGGAAGTTGTGGATGCCTCATCCCTGGTGGTGTTCAAGGCCAGGTCAGATGGAACTTTAAGCAAGCTGGTCTAGTTGAACGTGTCCCTGCCCGTGGCAGGGGGGTTGGAACTAGATGGTCTTCAAGGTCCCTTCCAACACAATCCACTCTATGATTCTATGATACCATATATTTATGTATGTTTGTATTGTACATAACAGAACCCATACAATTTTAAAAAACGAAAAAATGGTTTGTGCAAAATATTATCTGTGGTCTTCATTATGGTTGTTGAACTACATATACATTTCACGATATTTATAAACAAATCAATATGTATCTATAAGCAGATTGCATTCAGCTGTTTAATTTGCAGCTTATTTAACCAAAAGTGATCTTTCAAAAGATCGAATAATGAGACAATATACACTATCCTATAAGATTACTATTAATTTCGTAATATAATATGCCTTCAAATGCTACATCCTATATTTCAGTTTGGTAAAAGTAAATAATAACTTATGTTCTAAACTGGGCAATTTCCCACAGAAGACATTGCAATACTGTAAAAACTAATAATGTAATACCCAAAAAATTATTCCTCTGAAATAATTTTCAGGGAGGTTAAATAAACAACATAATCTACCTGCAAAATAATTTTTATTAATTTTTAAACATTTGAGGGTTTTAGTTGAATAAATCTCTTGTCTTTATGGAGACGAAATGACACTGCAAAGTATAGGATCTTAAAAGTAGAAGAGATTGCCTAGGTCACTGAGTCCACTTTCTTGCTATTACAGGAAACTGTGTCATCTAATCCCTTCCAGAAACTTTTCAAGCTCCATCTTAATGGTAGTTTGATATGTTTACCCCCTACTTTTGTTGCAAATCTGTTCCAGAACTTCATTGTTTTGGTGGTTAGAAACCTTCTTCTAATTTCCAGACTAAATTTATTCAAGAATCCATTTGGGTTTTGTGCCAATATTCATGCTTTGGCTTAAATAGCTCTTCTCCCTCCCTGGTGTTTAACCCTGATATATTTATAGACGGTAATCATATTCCCTCTCAGCCTTCCTTTTGCTTGACTAAACACTGATTTTTTAGTCTCTTCTTGCTCAACAGATCTTCATTCCACTCATCATTCTACTAGTTGCCCCAGTCTGAACACATCTGTCTGAATGTGGGTTCAAATTCCCATAACATCCCATTTTAGGCTGATTACTACCTTGTACTGTACATCAATATTTCCATATCTCCATGAAATATTGCAGTCTTGGGTGTGCAGTTGCCTTTTTGCATGAGTACATTAGATAACCACCATCTCTTCTAGTAGTACCTATGTTCTTTTCTACACTACTCATTTACTGGGAAAGTTCTCCATTAACCGCAAAATTTAGCCTCCAAGTACATGACCTTGCATTTTGTGTTATAGCAGTTTGTTTTGTTTCCACTAGTTCAATCACCAAGGTCATTCATTGTTTTTCCATATGGCATCCCACTGCAGCTGTGTTGATGCTGCTGCCTAGTTTTGTTAAACCAGCTGAACCAATAAGCTTATTTTCTCTTCTTTGCCAAAGAGTAAGATCAATCCCAAGAATAACTCCCAAAGAAATCTACTAGTAGACACTATTCAATTTGACACTCTCCTGTTTGGTACTAC